CTTCAGTGTGTGTTGTGGTATTATTAATGAGACATGACCAGCACACTCTCGCTCTAGCAGTGTGGCTGACCATCTGTGCGTGTCCAGTACAGATGCAGCAGCAAATAAATGCAATATTTCTGAAACCCAGAATGCATCGCTGCGGAGAGTTGAGTGTCATGTGTATGTTCTGTTCCATTTGACTCTTATTTTGATATGTATTTCTATTTCCTTTAGGCTCTGGGTTTCCATTGTTTAGTCCCTCTGCTCTCTTGCTTAGTTGGCTCATTTTCCTGTGTATTTAATTCCTTGTGTTTTCAGTTCAGTTTGTTGGTTCTCATTGCATTTTGGTGTGCTTTCGCATTTTTTCCTATGCTCCTGTGAGTTTTGTTTCCCTTTATTAAAGTTAAACGGCTGCAGACAGATCCTTTTCTCACCTTGTTTGAACCCACTGTGACACTGAGGTCCATGCAAGGTTATTGCATTTTTTAATTAGTTTTATTTTAATACCATTTCAGGATTACTCTATATTGGAATGTAGCTTTAGTCAGTTTTAGTTGTGGTAATTATGGTGAAGAAGTCAGTCGAGGATTGCGTGCAGCCAGTGCTGTTCCACTGCAGGAGCGACCGATCAAACAGTGGTGTAATGATGATGGTGGTCTGGGGAAGATAAAGTGCTGGCCATCTCCTCATGGATCTAAACGTGGACAGCTGGAGTTCTGCTGCTCAAGTGCTCTGTGTATCTGTCTATCATTCAGCTGTGAAATGCTAGAGATAATCTCAGTGAGGTCATTACAGGCTCTTGACGGCTGCTAATACTAGCGAGACAGAGAGAGTAAAATAACAAGGTGGGTGGGAGATTATGAGCTAATGGCTTGACTGTTACTCAGTTTCAGAAGTGTCTTGCTCCTTGACAGTGATACAGTCTTACAGGCCTATTCACATCAAGAGAGGTGCAGCAATGTGAATCTCCAATGAAAATTCTGATGATTAATTCAACTGAATTAAAGAAAAATATTACTACATAATTTATAACGAGTCAACTACATAATGCAACTACAGAATATGGATGTGCCTAAAGCTGAATACAGTACCTTATTCAGAAAGGCACAGAGAATGATTTCAAAATGATTCATTACTAACGAACAGAAAACCAACGAGTCAAGGCTTGAATGCAATGCATACATTCTGTTTATAATCTCTTCAACATGTGTTATTCATGCTGCAATAAGAGCAATGTGTTGTTGACCATTTAGGCACTGCGTCTTGATTTACTGATGTATAAAACAACAAAGTAGTTCAGAAATACAGTGTTCAGCTTGTTTTAAAATGTAGCTACAAATCCAGTGTTGCTTCACACAAAATAAGCATTGCAGCGCAATTCCATTAATCAAAATAAATAACTGTGATTACAATTTCAAGGGAAAATTATTGATAATTTAGGTGAAGTTTTGATGCAAAAATTTGGTGCTTTAAATATTCCATTTAAATGAACTTAATACATCTGTTCAGATCGACTTAATCATTTTGCACACCGTCAATGCAACATATATATATATATATATATATATATATATATATATATATATATACAC